CAGGGCACTTGTTACAGTTGATGAGTCTCCACTGCCCCGAAGAAAAGTCCACATCAGGCCACCTGTGGTGCTGTCCATCCTGTGGGTCCAGAAGTGGACGATGACTGGCACCCAGTCACGGTGACGTGCTGAGCACCTTCGCTGCCAGTCCTGACAACCGTCTGTGCCTGCCTCCTCGCCCTCCGCCCCAGCTCCTGGTCACCGCTGCCGGCACTACTACTGCGTTGGTTCCCAGAACTGCCTTTCCCGACGGGCCTCTTCCCCGGGGATATGCGTTTAAGCTTCCCGTGTCTTTTCATGGCTTGACAGCTCATTTCTTTTTAATGCTGAACATGGTCTCGCTGTCTGGGTGGACCACTGTCTGGTTATCCCTTCACCTACAGAAGGGCACTTGGCATTTGCCATTGTTGCCAAGTTCTGGCAATTAGAAACACAACTGCTGTAAGTGCCCATGGCAGGCTTCTCTGTGGAGGTAAGTTTTCCACTCATTTGGGTAAATCCTCCTTCCTTATTTCCGCCTGGTGGCCTCTAGTCTTCTCTTGGAGCTCTACTTCCGGACGGGCTCCTCCTGGAAGCCGTCCCCACCCACCACCCACTGCCCGCTGCCCGCCCTCGTTGGGCACAGGGGTCCCCTCTACATCCGTACCCCACTATTCTTCCCCAACACAGTGCAGACGACACTGGCAGCTCCTGGATTTGCCTTGCTGGGCTCCTCCAGGCAAGAATCAAATCTCAGCCTACAACACAGGCTGACAGAAAGAGCGGAGCAGGCCCAGCTTTCAGGGAATGGCTATCGCCGGCAGGAGGCAGTGCTGGGCCCAGGGTCCCTGAGGCTTCCAGCCTGGTGCACCAGCAAAGCTGCCCCTCCATCTCACCACACTCTTCTCCCCCTCAAAGGCCAACTACGCCCCAGGAAGGAAGGGCCTCCCCATCTTTGTGTCCAGACACACACACAGTCTGCCCCAGGTATCTTGTCTTTCTGCTCAGAACGCGTGTTGCTGGCATGCAGGGCCAGCGTTTTCTGTACTTCCCCTGTTTCCCACAGAGCTGTGAACAGCCTCTTCCACGGTGTCAAGGATGTGGTGGTTGCAGCTCAAGCCTGGGTTTACGACCCAGCTCTGCCCTTAGGAGTTAGACAATCTCCAGCAAGTTATATCACTTCTCTGAGCTTCAGTTTCCTCATTGGTAATGTCACGTGAGACTCAAGTGAGAAACACAGGTAAAGTGACTTAGCACAGTGACTGGCACTGTGTAGGTATAGAATAAAAAATGATAACCAATATGGTTGTTATGGACTCCTTAATATTTTTACTGTGGAGAATGCAGACAAAAATAAAATCTGGTTCCTCTTCTTGAAAACTTTGGCTGGGAGGAGAGACAACTACCATCAGTAGTTACGGACAGTGTGAAGATTGAGGGAGAGGTGTTATGAAAGCACCCCCAGAAGAGGAAGCTCATCTTGGGGAAGAAGTTTTGGAGGATGTGGCCTCACCGCTGGGTCTCAAAGGTCAGAATTTAACCAGGAGAGAATCAAAGATATCTGATATCTGCTAGGCGGACCTAGCAGGTTCAGGAACGCAGTGTTTCGCTATGGCTTGGACACCCTGGGGCGACGTGGCGGTGGTGCAGCAGAGTGTGAGTGAAGGAAGGTTAGGGGTGGTGACTGGGAGGGTGAGCTGCGGTGGAAGCGCAGGGTGCCTCGGAGTGTCAATTTGCGGAACGTGGTGTTCAGAAGAGACCTACCACAGGTGGGGTCCAGAGTGGGTGGGCAGACCGATGGACAGGGGTGGACGGAGGCAAATGGACACATGGATGCATGGTGGGTGGGCGGGTGGGCGGTGGACAGAAGCTAAGTTGGACAGGCAGGTGGAGGGGTCGGTGGAAGTATGTGAGACGTATGGGTAGGTAGGGACATGCGCATATTTAGAAGAGTAAGTGCTGGAGAGATGCGCAGGATGGGTAGCTGAGCGCATGGACAAACAGTTTAGGCGTGACTCTTTAGACATGGCTGAAAAGGAAATGGGTGGATGAGGAGATGAGTGGGTGAACAGAGGGAGAGACAGGAGACGATGGACAGAGTCCCGCATGGCCGGGCGCAGGCCGGATGGAGGGGTGAGTGCGGGGGCCCTGGACAGACTCCCGTAAGGCCGGGCGCCAGGCCGGATGGAGGGGTGAGTGCGGGGGCCCTGGA